AGAAAGCTAACGACTCAGCTGACTGGAGGTGACAAAGATCCCAGGGCTCGGTCCTGTCACTACTGCCAAGCAGGCCACTTATTGGTGAGAACTTCGCATCTTCTCTCCAGTTTTCAACTCAGTCAACTCGGGAGAGGGGGGCAAAAAAGAAGAGCCAGCTCAGATCTCCCAAGATACATGACAAAGCCGTGATTATGTCCCTCCTTCAGTACTGGCCAGCAGGAAGCAGGGCTCACTGGGAGCTCACACGGCTCCAGCTTGGCTTCAGACCTGCAGCTAGTCAAGGATGGAGGCTTCAGCTGGCTTGCAAAGTCCTCACCGGTGCCTTCTGTCCCCGCTCTCCTCTGGCACACATCACTTGCTTCATCTGCCATTCACATGATCTGTTCTCCAGCTGCTGGGCCAAGAGCCTTATGGCCCCGCTGAGCCCACGAGGGTCGCTTCTTCTCTGGCTCCTTCTTCCTGAAGTCACTTCCCATTTCTTGGTTTTAGGACCTCAAGAGATTGCAACTCCTTCAACTTTCATAAGCATATGTGCAGCCTATGGCCAATGTTTTTTTGAGGCATAGCCTGATACACTGCCTCCGATAAATTCTGACTGGGTTTTGTAACTTCATACAAATCTATGCCTATTTCTCAATTCTAATTTAAAATGATCCATCTTGGGCAACAGGACCCACAACGAAATTAGCTCCCCATTAACACTCTCCATCTTGGATAATTACCCTTAACTTAATTAGAGGCTGGCTCCCTCCAGCTCCCTAACTATTTTAAATCTTCCGTAACTGCCCAGTTTTGTCAGAATACAACTGCCACAAATTTCCCAGAGCGCTTTTCAAAAGAGCACCCCCTACTTTAGCCTTAGTACTTGGCAAGGAGGCAGATAGGACAAGCTATCTGACCCTATCCTTCATGGCCCCATATAAGTGTGAGTGCATCGACACTTGAACCCAAGTCTCCTTGACTCCCAAGTCCGAGGCTCTTGCCACTTCCAATTCTTAGTCAGAGTTAACTGTGCACTCCCGTCCCCACCCCCTCCGTCCAGGATCAGAGAAAGCATATACGACCAGAGCTTTAGGACTGCAAAGGCCCTCGCAGGTCATCAAATCAAAACTTCATTTTACAGATGATGACGCTGAGGTCACACAGGATTGGAACCCAAGGCCACTGACTTTCCATCTAGCACTCTTCTCACTGAACTGAACCACTCTTGTCTTCTGTGAACAGAAAATAAGCCTAGACCTAAATTAAGTCCGGAGCAGGAGCGAAATCCTAAGGCTGTTCCCTTTCTAGACCTAAAGGAACATTGCCTGCTACCGCTATCATGGGTGGAAGGAAAAGTCTGTTTTACTGAATGGTCTGGACACCAACATCTCAAACGCTTCTTAATTCAACTAACCCATCCCTGGGGACCAACCTCATCCCTCGGGACGTAACAACTGCAACTGAGAAACAAATCAAAAAATCGGAAACAGCCAGGAAATCGAGGCCACGAACCTGAGGACGTCCCCAGATCAGACGGCTCCCCCACTGTGCGCTTCTGCTGCTGTTTTGTCAAGCTCTTCATGACCCCACGTGGGGCTTTCTTGGCAAAGACACGGGAGTGGCTGGCTATTTCCTTTTCCAGCTCTTGTTGCAGAGAAGGAAACCGAGGCAGACAGGGTGAAGTGACTTGCCCACGGTCACACAGCTAAGAAGTGTCTGAGGCTGGATTTGAACTCAGGTCTTCTTAACTCCAGGACCAACATGCTATCCACTGCGCCACCTTGCTGCCCTTTTTGTATGTAGTTTTATAAATAAAGGGATATAGTCTACTGCTCCCCAAGTTCTTTCCAATAAATACGCCCCAATAATTTGACCAGGAAAAAAACTGAAATAACTTAGAATTTGGAAAATGGGAAAATAGGGCATCATATTAAAGCAATGCAAAGAACAGACTCATCCTGGGAAACGTTCCGGTTTGAGTAACTAGAATGACCTGTCCAAAAAAAAAAAAATCAATCATTTGGGAGGAAAACTGTTCCTGGCCCAGGGGCTGGCCCATTAGTCTGCAAGAAGCTGCACTGAAGCCTCCTCACAAACCTGGTGAGAGCAACAGGACCGGCCTGCAGGGTGGTATCCTGGAGGGCCCCTTCGGGCACCTCCCAAACAGCACACTCAACATTCCAGAGCCCTCACACTAGGGAGTCCCGAGATGCTTGTCACGGGCCCAGGGAATCTACAACGCTGGCCCCAGTCATCTGTTTCTCCAAAGGCTGTGCAGCCAGCACAGCCCAGGTTCAGATACTGCCTCTGTGTGACCTTGAACATGTCCTTCAACCTCTGGAAGCCTCAGCTTGGTCCCCGGTAAATTAAGGGTGTAGGTGCCAGTGGTCTTTCAGGCCCTTCAATCTCTAACAGGAGATACTTCCTTCCTTTTCCTGCCTGCCCCCCCTCCACCCCACCCTCTTCCCAACCTCAATCCACCTTACAGATCCGGACAGCGGGGCTTGGGGCAAGTCAGGGACCTGCCCTAGGTCACCTTAGTCACCAGCAGAACCAGATTTGAACTCCTAACCCAGCATCCTCCTCTGGGCTGCTTTCCAGTTTCACACTCCCCCTGACCACGGTGCATTCTCTTTAGACTTCGTGGGACCCAGGATTCTGACAGGAAAGGTGGAAGAATCCCTAAATCCCTTGCCAGGGCATCGCCTGTCTGCACTGTAGCTGACATTTTAGATGAAATCCATACAGCTCCCCCAAAGCCCCTCATCAAACTGATCACCACCTGATTCTGAAATGGGTGTTTTTTCCACAGGCTGCCAGCCCACAGAGCCAGGATAGACAGCTCTAAGTAATGGGGAGATTCAGTGTAAGGCAGCTTCCAAACAATGAGAGCTGTCCAACCATAGAACGAGCCATCTCAATTCAGATCAACACAGCTAAGCACCTACCACTATTTATGTGCAGGGCAAAAACTGAAACAGGTCCTGCCCTCTGGTGAACGGAAAGTGACCATATCCTGATAATTAAATATAAGATAACTGGGAAAGGAAAAAGTCCTTAACAACGAGGGGGACCCCAAGGGCTTCTCAGAAGAGCTAAGTCTCAAAAGAAGATGGAGGTTCTGAGAGGCAGAAGTAAGAAGGCCCAGCATGGAGGTGGAGGGCAGGGGGAGAGGGGGGGTCCTCTAGATGGCCAGTGACTAGAAAGAGGAAGGAAAGCCCAGTTCTCTCACAACTAACCCGGCAAGGAGAAGACCAGACTGAAAAACGATCAAGAAATCAAGGGTGGAGGCCAATGGCAAAAGATGGGATGTGGAATCTGGGCAACAGCTAAGGATGTGAATGCTAGGGATGAGAAGGCAGGTGAGAGTCAGACGCCGGAGCCGCCGAAAGGCAAAGGAGTCTGCCTGCGCTAGCTCCCAGAAGTGCGAGGGAGGCTGCAGCCAGGGCGTGTCACCGTCAGCACAATTTCTGAGGCCCACAGGAGCAGGAAGCCAAGGAGGCCGAGCTGATGGTGTCCGAGGGCTCTGGGGGCTGCGTCAAGGGCAATGCCAAGGTCACAAATTTGAGGGCCAAGGAAGGCGGACAAAACAAGAGTCTGGAGCAAAGACAGTGAGTTCTAAACTGTTCTAGGAAGTCCCTGTGGCCGGTGTGTAAGCCGAGGCTGGGTATCAAGGGGAAGACACCCCCCACACACACCCGGGACAGAGCGCGTTAGGTTAGGAGCTCCTGAGGGCAAGGCCTGTCTCCCTCCTCTCTTTTCGTCCCCAGTGCTTAGCACAAAGCCTGGCGCTTCATAAATGCTTAATGACTGACTGAGTCACCTCCAGTTCTACGATTCCACGGACAGAGAATCAGGGCTGGGGTGTGCTGAACCCAAGCATCTCTGAAGGCCCTTTCCTCAGCCTACTCTCAGACTCTAGAATCTCCCCAGCCTGCAGACCGAGCGCCTGACCAGCGGAATTTCCTAGAGGATTTCAAATTCTGAGTCTCTCAAATAGCTAGGTTTGGGAATCACCTTCTGGGCAAACAGCTGGGTCACCACCACAGGACCTCAGGCACGTCTTCATTCGGCACCCTGGCTTCTCCAGACGGAACACACAGCGTGTCCCTAGCAAATGGAACCACACTTGCGCTCTTTCCACAAGCCCAGACAGGCATATAAAGGGTGATATATTCTGCAGTGCTCAGAAGGGACCCACTTTACAGGGAGGGAGAGCGAGGCTCAAGAAGGGAAGTGACTGGCCCAAGGTCACACCGCAAGGTGGTCAGGGAGATCTCCTGGCTCCCAGGGCATTTCCCAGCCACTGCACCGGGACAAACGGAGATGCTCAGGAGGATGATCCGGCTCAGCCCTCAGGAGCCACCCAAATGTAGGGCGTGGCCCAGTTGGAGCCTTCCACCAGACACCGCCAAGAAGTGACACATCAAATTTTCAATGAGGAGGCGATCACCTAGAAGTCGGTTATCTTGAACCTCAGGCCAAAGGGACCAACCCTTTCACAGAACTGACCTGCGGCTCCAGAGGGTCACCCGCCCCCTCCCCAGACAGCCCCAAACTGGGGTGGAGGGAGGGGAGGGGCAGGATCAAAGCAGCGCCCCAGGGGCTGGGGTCGGCCCCAAACCCTCCTGCAGGACACCCGGAGGGGGGATGGGAGACACCACCCCCCCCCTGCTAAGGGACAGCAGGGACAGGCTACGGGGATGACGGGGGCGGGGCCCGAGGGGGCACCCCGGGCTGGGAAGGGCAGGGAGGGGGTCTGGGGGCAGCAGGAGAACAGGGGTGGGCGGGGGATGGGCTGCAAGGGGGAGAGGGCGGGAAATGACCCTGCGGCCTCTAAGGGGGTCAAGGACGGCCGGGGGTGGGGCACAGGGGGAAATGACAGAGGACTGACGGGGGAGGGCTGCGAGGGAGTCGGAGACGGCGGTGGGGGGGGGCCGCCCGGCCCGCGCCCTCCCTCGCGCGCTCCCGGCCGGGCAGGGCGCGCCCCCGCCGCCCCGCGCACGCGCACTCACCGCCTTCATGGCGGAGGCCATGTCGTCGTAGCGCTCCGCCTGCTCGGCCAGCCGCGCGCGCTGCAGCAGCTGCTCCCGGTCCCCCATGCCGCCGCTGCCGCCGCCTGCTCGGGCCGCTCCCGCTGCTGCCGCCGCCGCCGCCGCCGCGGCTCCTCGTCAGGCCCGGGCCGGGCTGGGCTGGAGCTCGCTCGGCCACGTGCGCCCGCGCCTCGGGCGCCTGCGGCTCCGGCTCGGCTCGGGCTCGGGCGGCTCCCGGGCTGGGGCTACGGCCCGACGGGGAGGGAGCGAGAGAGGAGGAGGCGAGGGAGCAGGAGGACGAGGAGAGGGAGGCTCGCGCCGCTGCTGCTGCCGCCGCTGCTCTGACGGGCTCGCGCTGCTGCCGCCGCCGAAGCCCAGGCTGAGGCTGCCGCTGCCGGGCGGGCGGGGCGGGGGAGGAGGAGGAGGAGGAGGAGGAGGAGGAGGAGGAGGTGGCTCCTGGGGGGGGAGCGCCCCGTGCGCTTGCGCGTCGCCCGCCGCCCGGCCCGCCAGCGCGGAGCCACGCCCACGGGGGAGGGGGGGAGGGCGGCCGGGCCCGCCCAGAAGGGCTATTTCTAGGTGACGTCACCCGCTATAAATAGCGCCTCCCGAGCTCTCCGTTTCCCCGCCCGGCCGGGAGCCGGGCCCGACGCATGCGCCCTGCCCGTGGTGCAGTTTGGTGCTGCAAAGGTGGAGGTGGGAGCCTGGAGGGGCGGGGATTGCGGAGCGGGAGGGCTCGGCGGGAGCCGGGAGCCGCCCAGCCCTGGGTAACCTTGGCCAGAGCCCTGCCCCCACTCTAGGCCTCAGTTTCCTGCACAGGCAGAAGAGTGGGGTGGGCTAGAGCAGAGGTTCTTCACCCGGGGTCCGAGACATTGTGGTTTTTATATACGTGTACAATATATACATATTAAAGTATTCCTATAAGAATGGGCTTCCACTGATTCTGAGAAGGAATCCGTAGGCTTCCCCAGACTGCCCAAGGGGTCCAGGACACAAAAAAGGTGCAGAGCCTGTGCTAGAGGATCTCTAAGACCCTCTCTCAGCTCAGACGTCCCCTGTTCTCATTCCTTCCCCTCCTCCCAGCCCTGACATTCCCTGTTCTCACTGTCCTCCCAGCTGACATTTCATGTTCTAAGGGTTCTCCCAGCTCTAACATCCCCTGTTCTCACTCCCCTCCCAGCTGACATTCCATGTTCTAAGGGTATTCCCAGCTCTGACATTCCCTGGTCTAAGGCCCCTCCCAGCTATGACGTTCCCTGTTCTCATTCCTCCCCATCCCAGCTCGGACAGTCTGTTCTGAGGGTTTTCTTGCCTCTGACATTTAAAGACCAGATACACCTGGAGTTCTCATTATTCCCTATAAAGAGCCCTCCTGAGGAAAACCTTCCAGGCAAGACTCGGATGAGAAGCCCCAAGCTGCCATCCATCTGAGAGGCAGAGTCCTGGAACTTCCTAACCAATTCGGAGAATGAAAGAAGAGCCACTGAAAAGTCCCCCGAGGACCTGACTGGGTCTCTTCATGGGGCTTGATGCAAGGCCACACAGTGTTGGGGGTGGAAGCGAGGAAGGCCTTGGGATCATCTCCTCAAATGATTGTATTGTACAGAGGAGGAAACAGACTGAAGGAGTAAGGGGACTTCCCTGAAATCCCCCCTCCGAGGACGGGGCGTGGTGCAAGTGGGAATCAGCAAGACTGGGATTCAGGTCCTGCCCCGCACCTTCCCCTTCCCACCTGAAAAGTACCCTCCGACTGCTTCAGTCTCCTGTAGGTAAAATGGGGGCAATGATAGCTCGAAACTCCCACAGCCGTCCTGAGGATTAAGTGAGACAGTATTTGGAAAGCGCTTTGCAAATCTCAAAGTGTTATGTAGAGGCAAGATTCAAACCCAGATTTCCTGCCTCTGGGTTCCTTTCCAACCACACACCCTGCTTCTGAAATCACTGACAGTCATCGGTCATCGTTAAAATACCTACTGTGTGCCAGGCACCATGCTAAATGCTGGAAATACAAAGAAAAAAGACAAATGTGATCCCTGCCCTGCCCTCAAGGCACTCACGGTTGAGAGCCCATAAACATGCTACAGACTGGATGAGTGGGAGATAGTCCACCCAGGAAGATACTAGCTTTTAGGTGGGTGGGGAAAGTCTTCCTAGAGAAGGTGGGATCTGAAGGAAACCGGAGAAGCCCAGAGACAGAGGAGAGGAAACCGAGGTTCCAGGAAACAGGGCAGGGTCTGTGAGAAGGATTGCCTTTGGGAAATGAAGTGTGTGTCCTGTACCCAGAACATGCTGAATCACAGCATGCCTGGAGGTGATGGAGGACTTTGAGTACCAAACAGAGGATTTGATTAGATTTTATTCTGGAGGCCATAGGGAGCCACTAAAGTTTACTGAGTAGAGGAGTGACTTGGTTGGACATCCTTGGAGGCTGCACTGGAGTGAAGAGAGACTTCAGGTGGGGCAATAGCCCAGGTGGGAGGTGGCTAGGGCCTGCACCTGGGTGGGGGCAGGGTCAGAGGCAAGAAGGGGGCAGATCCCAGAGATGCTGACGGTCGTCAACAATAATGCCCAAACTGCACCAACACCTCCAATAATTTTCTCTGTTACTAAGTGATTCCCATCACAAGGGTGGTGCATCGGAAGAAGCCAGGGATTCGGGCCTAGAAGACTTCCCAGCTCTGCCCCTTGGGTGGCTTTGTAAAAGTTCCTCTGTGACCTCCCTGAGATGCAGTTTCCTCGCCTGTAAAATGAAGATGTCCCACCCAACTGCCTCCGTGGCCCCTTCCAGCTCAGAATGCCTGATCCCCTTATCCAGGGTGAGCAGAGGGAAGCTGCCTACATCTGCTCTCCCGGGAAAGCTAGACTGGAACAGTCATTATGCTGTAGGCTTTGCAGCTCTGGTGGGGAGGGAACAGCCTGCTTCTGTAACCTCGATTCTGTTTCCTTTTCTAGGCCTCACACAGGACAGGGAAGCCAAGTTAAAGTGGGTGGTTTAGGCTCCCCAGCAGCCCTCCTCCTGGGCCTGGTTCCCATCCTGTTCTGTCCCTGAAGGGTGTCATTTCCCCAGCAGAGCTGATCTTAGAGCCAAGCCTCCACCCTCCCCCCCTTCTTGCTCTGGCTCGCTTGTGCCATTGAGCAGGACCCTTCCCCCTCTCAGCACTTCAGTTTCCCCCTGGGGTCCAACCGAGCATCTCTTCATCAATACAAAGCATTGATTAATCAACCAGAACAAGCTTTTTACAGATGAGGAAACTGAGGCACAGAGCTATTAAGTGACATTGCTAATAAGTGTCTGAGGAAGACCTGAACCCAGGTCTTCTTCCCTCTCACTCTGTTATGCACTCTCGCTCTAGAAGGAACTGAAAAGAATTGAGAGGCGGAGGAGAGGAAAGGGACTGGCCCTGTAGGAGGGGGCCAGTTGGCACGTGAGCTGTCAGACATAACACTGGACGGGTGAGTTTGGGCTAAGGCATCAGGCCGTCTCAGAATCACAAAGAGAAGCTTACATTTGCTTCTAGAGGTAATAGGGAAGCACTGCATCTTATTGATTAGGGAATTGTCACAGTCAGACCTGGGATTTCGGGAAATCACCTTGGCAGCTGTATAAAGGGCACACCGAAGACTGGAGAAACTTGACCCTGGAGTTCTAGGCCCGGTTCTCCCACTAGGCTCTTCTCCCAGTGCCTCAGTTTCCCCATTGTCAGGATGACTTGCCCCTATCTGCCTTACCCATTTTGGAGGCTTCATTTAGATAAAATGGAAAGGTTTAGGTTTGACTGTTATAAACACAATGTGCAGCAAGTGGTCTGGGGTCAGAAAACCTGAAGTCAGGTCTGGACTAGGTCCCTGAGGGCAGGCTGGTTGGGTTTTTTTTCTTTTGTATCTCCCGTCAATCCTTCTCTGCCCCTACCCCCACCCCAAACCAAGCCTTGCCCAGAGCAGAGGCTTCCTGTATCTTTGTGGGGCTGGGTAAACCTTGTCTAGTCTGAGAAGGGGAGGATGGATACGCCTGCACTTGCAGCCCCAACGTCACGGGGCTGCCAGGAGGGGAAGGCTGGCCAGCCATGGGGAAGAAAGCTATTCTTAAGCCACTGATGTTATAAGCCTTGGCAGCTGGGAATGATGGCCTTTCACCAGGGCTGGCCTGGGGGTGGAGAGTGGGCTCGGCAGCTCCCTGACCTGCTCAGTCCCCCTCAAACTCTCCGGGTCTCCTCTTAGCCTCTCCCTGACTGCCCCCCTCTCAGCCAGTCACAGACTGTCCCCAAGACTGGAGTCTGAAGGTCTGGCCTGCGCATCAGGGCCCCTGGCTTCTAGTGCTAGCTCTGTCCCTAACCAGCTGTGAGGCCTTGAGCAAGAGCCTTCCTTCTCTGGGCCTCAGTTTCCTTCTCTGTATAATGAGGAGACCCTACCCCCACCCCTGCCATCCCAGATTTTCTGTGGTCCTCGGAGGGGTGCTACTGTTTGTCCTTCGTTCTTAGAAAGGACCATGACATCAGGGAGGAGATGCCGTGACATGCGAGTGAATTGGATTTAAGTGAGGGAGGGCTGTGCAAAGTCACCAGCCTCACTTTTTCCTTCAGAGCCACCTGGATGCAGTGGCCAGATATGGATCAGGACAACTGGAGGTGGCCCAGGATGCATTGGGGGACCTTGGCTTTTTCAAGCTAAGGTCTTTAACAGGTTACAGTTTGACTGAGGGAATGTCTATTCAGTGATTAAGACTTAAAATATAAGACAAAGAATGGCCTCTTTTAAAAACATAGAGGGGCAGCTAGGTGTCACAGTGGATACAGCACCTGCCCTGGAGTCAGGGGACCTGAGTTCAGATCTGGCCTCAGCCACATAACACTCTCTAGCTGTGTGACTCTGGCCAAGTCACTTAACCCCAATTGCCTCACCAAAAAATATAGATAGATAGATAGATCTGAGTGGGGAAGACCCTCAGGGTTTCTGCCCCAAACAGCAGAAACAATTGTTATTTACATTAATTCTGAGCCAATCAGGGCTCAAACAGTGACCAGGTAGGGCGAGGTTTGGAATACAGTTCCCAGACTTTAAAGTGCCACGTGAATGTGAGCTTGTATTAGCTCTTATAGGACTGCCGGTAATAGACATCCTCAAGCCGGCATGGACGGG